AAACGTCTCCAAATTTTTCAATGAAATTTCCATTAATGACTAGGTTTTACTCTTTGATTACATTCTTAAAGTATTTTTTTCGTTTCCGCCATTAAGAAACCGGAAACTTGAGTAAAGATTGTGGCGTGGCCGTGGCGTCGTTCGTGACGCGGTTTGTGGCCAAATGTAGCCGCCGACTTTCGTCAGGTCACGGGAACCTCTGGCCTGGTGACCGCGACTTTCGGTGGCTCCCTGGAGATCGAGGCAAGGATCGCAGTTTGCCCGGCAGCCCCACGAACGCAATCTCGCAGAGATTTGAGAGCTCGAATCAGGGCGGGTTTATTTCAGGGTTGCTTGGTTAGGGAAATGTAAAGGGGCTTACCTCGTTTTGAAATGACATCATGGAGTTCAGTTCAAGCACATTTATTAATACATTATACGAGCGAAACCGAAGAGTTACGCTGGTTGAGTTGCCGTTGGAAAGTTGCGCTACGGTCGGAAGGCGTTGCAAAGGTTACACGCACGCCCTTTCTCAGCTGGAACGGTCTCGTGGAACGTCACCGGTAGGCCTGTGGTGATCCCCGCGCTGCCCTCGCCGCAGATTCTCGAAGGCACGCGCCGGCGACGTGTTTGTTCATAGGGGCGCAGCGCCGCGAGCAACCGGAGTAGCTTCGGTTCAGTTCCCGGCGCGTTTTGAGATGCACATGTCATTGGTCTCGTACGTCTCTCCGACACCCTCGCCAGTCTCCCTTCGCACTCCTGGATTTCCGATTCCGCACATACTCGACACTGGACATATATTGGACACCTGATTCCGTCCGCTCGCCCGTATCTTTCTCTCCCCAACACTCTGCCTCCACTAGCTCCCCGAAAGATTCTCCCAAACGCGTCCGCATCCTCTCGCTCCCCATATGATCTGTCCCTTCGCCTCCGAGTTCACAACTTCACATCTGCACACGATTGCCCCCTCTCGTCAAGTATTGTCTAGTCAGTCTGATTGGGTCTGTGTCGAGTGAAATCGTCGTGATTCGTCTGTTTGGCCATGTGAACGGTGAATCACGGATTTTTATACTTCTCAGCTTGCGTGGTTTTCCATGCACGTGTATCTTTCTATCTTCTAGGAATTCTACAGTAGTTTGTCCCTGTCACAAACGGGGAAGTGCCTTCTCGTATATCGTCTGTGTGATAGTAGTTCCCCATAGCAGTCTTGTCGGAATGCACTGCTTGGGAGTTTCGTCACAATATGAAAAACTTATGTTTGGGCGGCGGTAGATGGCAGCTGCGAAGAGGATGGGGTACGACCGAAAGGCGAGACCAGAGCAGAAATAAGGAAACTAATTAGTACATGGAAGTCTGTGCCATTCTGCAGCACTAGTTCTTTAAGTAGTAGTGCTTTCTATCTCTACTGCCCAACTAGCAGATAAAACGGCAGAACTTTATGTAGCTTGTCAGACGTTCCTAAGATAATGGTCATGATTTTTAAATCGCCATAGATACACTATTTATTCTCTTGATAGCATATTTTTTCAAGAAGCGAGATAGTTTCATGACTCAGGTGGGTATAATAACTAATCAGTACTGATGCATATGTTTCTATTTCATAGTAATACTGCTTTCAAACTTGTTTTAGTTTATGTACACGTAGGCTTCTGCGGCTCAAGTTCATGACTTCTGGGCTGTCCGGGTGACGCCGCATAACGGTCATGTGAACGGTATGTTAGACAAATACAAATCTTCAAATAATGTCATGTTCAATTTTTAGAAAATATGAGTATTTGTGCAAACATCTAACATCCCTAGCAAAAGTTCAAAGAAGAAATTTGGGACCTTTGAGAAAATCTTGTTTTTGTTATTTTTAAAATAGTACATATTGCACGAAAATTACTAAAGGTTTCAAAACATTGCACATGACCTTAATAAAATAAATAATTATGGACAACAAATTTCATTTGATGGAAAAATCTTTATAGATTTTGTTGTAGGAAGACGCCGAAAAAATTCACACTTTTGCAAATTTCACAAATTTAAAGTTCACAGTGAAAATCGGACTTATGCCATTAGTGTATTTTACTCTATTCTTACAAGCAATGTAAAGAAATTAATGCCGGCGTCTCTAGCTGAATTCGTTTACGTCGTGAAGTCACGGGGGTTAAGCGAATTCGAGACTCGCGGATTCCTGGTTGGGTGACCGTCAGAATCTACCGCGGCGAGTCATGGCTTCGTCTAGCCCCTGACAGACTGCAATGTGACGACACTTGACAAATGTAAATAAAGGAGGATTACTCCATGTAAGCGCTCAACGCCCAACAAGGGTTCAAGAGACGCGTTGGGTTACTGTCACAACAAATTATAAAAACATCATCGAGAAATGTTTCAAAATGTTCCTTGGCTTGTAAAGTACACCAAAACTTAAGGATTTTTTTTTTCAAAATCGTAGAGCTTCGTGTTTAGCCACGTCGATTGAGGAATATTCATTTTGGAAAAAATCTTATGAATAGTTTATGCGCTAGCGTTGTTCACGGTCGGAATTCACACGAAGAAGATTTAGGATAACATTGGAGAAATGTTTGAGAGGGAGGCCTGCAGTAACTTAGCATGAATATCTGAGGAAACATATAGGAAACCATTCGGGGAAAGTGCGGTGGTACAAGCGGGTGCGGAGTACATGCCAGAAACATGAGAACATGCGAAATTAAGTATTGTGAACAAGCGAGGGGAATATGTCGGGAAGCTTGTAGAGGGGCGTGCGGGGGTCATTTGAGTGAAGATTCATGTTTTTAGTGACCCCTACTCCAGAGTGGCCAGAAACGAAAAACAATTTGTTAACTTATCTTGACGCGTCAATAGGCCTGCCATCAAGATCCTACAATGCGTCAATGTACAGTTCAAGTTCAGGTCAAATAAGGAGCAATTCTCATTTTAAAAACAATGATTTACAAAGAGTAGATTGTTCGCACGGGTCTAGCTAATATTACTAACATTACGAAACTGATCTTTGTAAATATGCCTTTTGTTTTGTAAGAATTCTTATTACGACACTGATCTCAGTTTCGTAAAGTTTACTATACTGCATTTTAAAATTACCAAAATATCTCTACCGCATATTATGTAGGACCTTGGTTGCTACTCATTTAACTCTGTCACTAGTCTGAACTGCAATTTATTCTTCGCTTGCAGTGCCCGACAATTCAAACATACCGCCATTCGCCGTTGCATGCTCCAGTCACAAAGACCCGTTCCGTCGCTAATTCGTTTCGCAACTTTCAACTTGTAGCAGGCATGCTCATCAAGAAATAATGTATTAATAGGTTAGAAAAACGAAATTTTAGCGGTTATTGCTCTATTCCTCATAAACCATTTCCGTCATTGAAGAAACAAGAAAAATGAACCTCCGACAGGTGATTATCTAATGCAATTACTGAATGACGTTATAATTCTCGTTTATTTACACGGAATATATCTGTTTCAAGTTTATGGTACGCGGTCGTGTTTTGAAACTCTACCGAGAGTTTTTGCGATCAATAAAAGAAATTCCAGATCAGTCCAGCAAGCAGGAATTGTTTGACTGGGTTCACAAGGATTTCAGGAAATTCATGCATGAAACTGATGAGGTTAGTATTTTTAAAATAAAAAGTTCAAAATGTAAACATTGGACTTGTTTCCTCATGGCATTTTCCACTTCAGTTCAAAATACGATCTTTGATTGTTAATGGGGAGCGATCTCTGAAAGAATTGCAACAGAATTTGGAATTGAGTGGTGTATCATCGCTGAATAAAAAAGAAAAAGCAGTCAAGAAACAACCAGTTGAAAAGTAAGGAAGAATTCTTGTATAAGATATCTTTTATATGTGTTGTATTTGAAGATTGTAAATAAGACTGTAATAAATTATTTTCAAATCTATTTGCTTTCAATAGCCATTAAAAAAGGAATTAGACACTTGTAAAGTCAATGATTTTTTGCCAGGCTTTATTTATATAACATTTAATTCTAAATACAAGGTTCTTGAATAATACAACAGCACCATAGTGGGATGAAGACATTGACAGTCTAACCAGTCTCTGAAACACTACTCTTGCATATTTGTCAGATTATAGCAGTTACCTATAATATTAATTTGTTGAAGTTGCAAGATAAAGTCAAAGTATCCTCTTGTATTTTGTTTTGTTTGTACTTGGGAACTAATTGTTGCTATATAAATGAAATGACACCCTGCAATTCACAACTTTTATATGAGTATCTTGCAATATTTTGTAATATTGTACGTCATTTGTTAAGTACAGTTAGATCATTATATCACATTCCTTAGAAATACATGTAAATTTCACTTCTTTATCTAAAATTGCTAAGCAATCCCAATGAACTCTCATAAATCTCAACAACTTTTTCTAATATTCACATCATTGAAAATATCAATGAAAGATTTGTATAACACGCCAGCTTTCAACTTCATTATACCTACTTAATCTACAGCTTAACAGGTGTTATTGTTTGTAATTACTGTGAGTGATATCACACACACATTTGTAACCATACTCCTAAAAGTTACCTTCACATTTCTATTTATAGACAGTTGATCAATGTTTACTCTATTGAAAACTCTGCTTGGTTTTTATGCTTTTCAAGTTACTTTTGGAAAACTTTATCTTTTATACAATAGTCTCAGTTGCATACATTCATTGCCCCTCTAAAACCAGCTATGTTTACATTTTATAACAATGAGTTATGTACACTTTCAGGAATAAGAAACCACTTAGAACCATTTAATTATAATAAATATAATGATGTATTAATGAGCTTGATACAAAGAAAAATAATTATTTGAGTGTTTTATGTCCCCTGTAAAATGACATTCTCGGTTTTAGAGGTGAAACAATGATATTTTCCTAACCTTTCCTGTATATTTATTTTACCTTTGAAAGCAACAGCCACAGAATTATCCAGCAAATTTATAAATTACTAATATTTTTAGATTATTCATAATTCCATTATGTGTATTACTGTTATTATTATCAGAGCCCAGATGTTTTAGTAAAATGCCTTTTGAACTTAACCAGATTTTAAATGCCTATAAGTGGAAAAAGTTTTTTTTTTTCTTTTCAGGTTTTAGTTTGCTACTTCTTTTGTCAACTTTAACTCCCTATTGCCCTCTTTTTTGCAATTTATTCATTAAATAAAGAAAATGTTACACTCTTAATATTCTGGAAAATAATAGGTAAAATCACAAACTAAAATTAATAACTATAATCTCTATAGTTCCAACATGCAAAAAACTATACACAAGGAACTCAAGATCTTGTACTAAACAGTTTGTAAATAATTTACCTCATCTGATGGAGTATCTACGAAACTAGAGTGTATGAGAAAATTACACTCCAACTGATACCACTTAATTGATGAAAACTAACTTTTTTGATCTATTGAAAAGAGAGGTGATGCAATTTTTGCTGGCATTAGTTATCTAATAGTTACTTCTTACCTATCAATTCTTCACATTTAAAATTGTTCAGTGAAGTCATGTTCAACTTTGGGAAAGGTTTATGCTCACAAACAACATAAAATGTTTGATTTCTGTGAAAACAGGAACACTTCCATTTAGGGCAATTATAGCAGAAGCAGATGATTATTAAGAAACTGTAATATGCAACAATGTAAAATTTTATTAGTCCTTTTTATATATTTTGTCTTTTCTGAAGAAAAAAATAATTTGTTTCTACTACTAATATTACTATTATTATTATTATTATTATTATTATTATTATTATTATTATTATTATTATTATTATTATTATTATTATTTGTTTTGGTAACTGGTTATTTCACACAAAAAAATGCTTAAACATATGAGCTCAGGTAATAACATTTAATTTCCCGTATTGGAAATTTTTGTGTTCCTCTACCTTGGAAATTTAACTTATCCTCATAATATTTTACTTTTTGAATAACCTCAGAATTGCATATTTATGTTGTCAATACAATTTCCCTTTATTCACACTTCACTATTAGGATCTGGATGAAAAAGAAGAACAAATAACTTTCTCTATTCAAGAAAGCAAAATACTCTTTTTTAAGTAAAATTTTAATATTTATCTGATAAGGTTTCCTGTTTAGGACAATTTTTTAAATATTATACCATTGACATGATTTTGTAACAACTATACATTATTAGGGTGTATTTTATCTTCAGATGCAAGAAGCTGCATGAAATCATAATTTCCATCGGTTCAGTCAGTCTAATGAAATGTGTGGCTTTTCAACCACATCAACTGCATAGAACATGAGAGATATTTTACTCAAAGATCTAACATTTCCTGTTTAGGTATTAAAATTTTATTTGTTTTCATTTATATTTTTTAAGAAATAAGCGTTTACAATAGAATGAAATTTTCAGGGTTGTAAATGGTATACTTTGTGTATCAAATCTAGGTGTTCACATAAATCAGCTACACATACTCAACTTTATGCAGGGACTCAAAACAATTATTATAATTAGATTTCATGTTCATAATTGTTACATCTTGAGAATGTTTCATTAACCCACTTCAAAATGCAGCAAAATGGAATTACCCTTTCATTTGTAGCATTGTTTTTAAAATGTATTCTATAATTTTGAATTACATGGTAGAAGTCAGTTCTCAGGTTAATAATAAAAGCAGCAATGATATTGCTGAGCAGAAAATTCTGCTGCTTCACTAATTCCTATTCCAATTTAAATAAAATGAAATGCATAACATTGATTTAAAGCAGATTTTGCTTCTTAATATGGCTCTTTGATTGCACACAAAGTATTTTCAAATCTGAATTACTTGCAGGAATGTCCTTCAAATCTCGAACTTGATGTCTTAACCCTATAGTTTACTATAAGAATGAAATTAATTGATTGCAATCACTAAGAAATTCAATTTTGTTAACAATAATGTTGAACTCTTCCTGCAAGTACATCAACAATTTTATCATCTTATAATGCAGTGTATTCACACAACCACACATGAATAAACAATCTTAATCATTTAAAGTATAAGATAGGTAGCTAATATTAGACTAGTATTATCCACACTTAAAAATGAAATGTAAATGATTGAGTAAATGATCTTGTGAACAAACATATCCAATCATGCTATTACAAAACAATACATGAAAACCTAAATTTCAAATAATGTAGGAAACTGCTATTAACTCCGACTCAATTACAACACCATTTGACATGCTAACAGCAAGTCTACCAAGAATGGACAGGAACACTGAAGGACGGTCTAGCAAGTTGACACTTTACACACACAATAATGATCTTGGGTAATAGTGAGTATGAAAAGCTGCAGTACCCAGTTTTCAAAGACATTCATTATTTCACGGTAGAATTTTGAGAGGAAAGTACATACAAGAATCTAAAATCACAAAATCAAAAGTAATATATAAGAAACAGTAGGCTATGTTCCATGCTGATGACTGCACCAATCCAGATAATGAAGAATGCACTTTGATGTTTATTTTCACATTCACTATGGTATAAAGGACATCCTTTATACCATCAAAAATCTTGTCTTTTAGCTTTGAAATGCGCTGCCCTCACGCACTCTCTCTTCTCCATAAAGAGATATAGTCAACAGCACTACTAACAATTTATTTTCATACACATGCACACATGCTATAAAATTTTGTAACATCTTAAATATGTGAATCTTTTTCTAAATAATATAATTAAGATTTTGAACAACTTAACTATAAATGTTGCTATGCCCATTTCCCATCATAGTTACTTCTGTGCAGCATAGTTATTTTTAACAAGACTTCTAAGAATATTCTTCCAAGTATAAATAAATAAATGCAACTCTTGAGGTGAATTTATTCCCGCTAAACTTCATTATAAATAAGGAATGATGTAATTTTTAAAGATATTTTTCACTTAAATCACAGTACAGTTAGCACTGTACAGACAAATGATGAGTTTTGAAGTAATTTAGATCACATATGGAAAAGCAACGTATTCAAAAGTCTATGAAATGAGTGACTAGCCCATGACCTTAATTTCAATACTGTAATAATTAAAATAGATTAATGATGTACAAAACAGTTGCATCATATATAATCATTACAAAATATTAACCCAAAGGGCATTTTAAAAAAAATAAGAGGCAGTGATTTGTCCATCGGTTAAGGAGACAATACTATAAACCAATTACATCACAATGAAGAAAATTTTGTCATGATACTAACATTTTCAATTACCGTTAGATCTATCATCTAATTCACCATATTTACATAATCCGAAAATTCCATGAGTCAACATCACAAATCAAAACAACTCAACCAAAAAAAATTATTCCAGAAAAATGCAATCCTCATTTTATAAAAAACAATCATGACATAACAAAATGTTTCTACCAGCACTTTATACTATTGAATCCTGCCTGCTCTGCTACCTCAGAATAAAAGAAAGTTATCCAACACTCTTTGATCATTTTGATTACAGAAGAGTGTTAGTTATTACCATCTAAAAAAGACGTATAAGGGTTTATAAATTATTACTTTTAGCCATCATAAGTTTCAGCCATGACAACTGGAAAATTGAAAAGAATTGACTATTACTATAACTTCACGGAAGTTTCCATAGAGATTTTCATGTTTGTTAGCTTATGGCAAAAACATTCCTAAAAGTATTAGGTCTTAAAAGAACATTTTTATGTCATGTAAGTAACAGAGGGAGTGAAAATAATTTCACTCATACCCGCATAACAAATGTAGGAGTTCCATTGTTATCTATATGTACATGTATTTAACTGGTACTGAACTAGAGTATCAGAAAACACTGTGTCACAAAAATTAACTGTGACAGTTTACATACAAAATTTTTAAACATTAGAACGAGCGCATTAGTATTTTGAGCAAAATATCAAAGTTTCACTGATTTTTTACAATAGTAACAGTCAAATGGTTTACTATTCTATTATTAGAAGTGTACTTTTATTATCATAAACTACCTATTTCTGAGTAAACAAACAAAACGAATTCAGCCTGGTCACTTGATTCTAGAATATCAACTCAAACTCACTTTGTCCAAAGAAAAGTGGAAGGTGTTCAGTAAAATTGATCTTGGTTACATAGTCCTCAATGTAGGAACAATATATTTAGTACAGTTTCAGTTTGTGAAAGCTTTCTAAAAGGCTGATTTGAAAACTGACTTTTTAAAATGGAAAATAATGAGTAGTCAAGATTTCTTTAGCAAGTTTTTAATTACTCAATCCAAGAAAACTACCCTGTTTCACATCCAACAGAACTCACGTTTAATATAAAATTAACATTTGAACGTCCCTTTAAAACTGTATGAGAGATCAAAATACAACAGTATTTCTTCATTCATTTATATTTATAATGAACTATTATTTAAACACATCTAAATTTATGAAGAAATTATTACGCATAAATGTTTCATGTTAAGAAACTAATATAATTTGTGCAGCGGTGGTATCTGAAGAAAATTCATTATTTTCATTTTTTTTAGACAGTCTTGCATGAAAGTGACCAGGTAAGAATAAATCTATGTTCTCTCTTTAACATTTCTGTACACAAATTTCAGAGTAACAGCTCAAAAATTCACAGGAGAGTATAAAAATGGCAAAATCTGGCACAGAAAATATAACAATAACAAAGTAAGTCTTTAAAATAATACATATGTACACATGTAGCAAACAGTATAGAAATGTCCAGTTTTACAAGCTCTTACGAGTACACAATACAAGAAAGAAATTATATTTGCATGGGAAATTGATCTTTAACTAGAAACTTGAATTTGGCATGGATAGATTATTTTATGCAAATATGTACAAATTCAAAAGCCAACTTCATGTGAGGTCCTGCAGTAAAATATTCTATGTATCAAAGACATCAGAACCACACAAGTTATTTAAACTTTTTAACAAAAATATGTTTTGTAGCACGTACTACAAAGAGGAGCTTATTAATCACAAATTGGAGAGTTAAAACAACTTAGTTACAATGACTGATGCACAATTTAAGAACAAGAAAAATGTACCAGCTATAGTCATGAAAAGTGCAATGGCATGCCGCACACTTTTGTGTGGAATTCTCTTACCTAACAAAAAATCAGCAAGAGCTCTCACAATGTATTGTCCATCAAGTCCAAAGCATGGAATCACATTTATCACTGCTAACCCAGCAGAGAAGATAGTTATATACTTACATAATCTTGTAACCACTTCAGGAATACTTGATGAAATGAAGAAATATAGAGGTACATAATCACTGACTACAACAGTACGATACACTTCTGCTGGATGCCCAAGGAATAGAACAACCTGTTAACATCAGAGTTCAAACAGGTAAGTTAATCACAACACTAAGCAACTGAAATGCAGTTAACGATGCCCTCTTTTGGTGTAAACTTTTATGCATCAGATGATAATATCACTCAGTTCAAAGTGCAATAGTCTTAAAGAAAATTAGCAAAAAAAATTGCTGATTCTGGAAGAACATCATATGTCTGAAGTATTTCGAGTAAAAACAGCATTAGTCCTGCACAAACAAAGTGGGTGTGATGAATGATCAGCTTCCAGGAATTCTTTCCAGTATTTATATTGCTTTTATTGCAGGTTATAGTTAATCTAAGCTATTAAAATGATTTGGTAAAGTGTTTGTTGGAGGTTTGATTGTTTTCAATGTACGACTAACAATGTAATATGTAAAATACATGTAGTATTATTATTTTTGCATGTTTCTGGTACCTTGTACTGATATGTAATAGCAATGCTATTGATGTAATCTACAATTCTCAAGCAAAAACAACATATGTCCATTTTTCTTTTATTGTAACCTGTGAAATATATTGTTTTATTTACTTACAACTGCATTTTATTGTTTTATTCTATGTAAAAGTAATCCTGTACAATATAAAATTCCATACATCTTGCTGAATTAGCAAGGTGAACGTTTTTTTTCTCATTTACCACAAATTGGATTTTTGGACTAATGCTGTTTTTTCAAGGAGCCCTTCAATTTTTTCATAAGCAATAAGTCATTAGCACAGGTACTGAATAAAAATTATGTTGATTTTCAAATTTGTTGAAAACGTGCAAGCATAAGCACATTTATAGAACTGTAATTATTTAAATTACATTTTAGTTATTTAATTTTAATTGTCATCAAAACATGTATGATTTATTTTGAGGAGACTTCCATACCTTAGCATCCAATCGTTCTATTCGGACTAATTTGGTATTGTTTTCGAGAGAGGGCACCATACAATGTAAGCCTTGTGTACAATCACGAGCTGCTCCACACATCAATTCTGCTGCTTCTACAACAATACGACCAGGCAAGCAGGAATGTTGAGGCAACTCCAATGTTCCTTCTTCACCTTCTAAATACTCAAAACACAGATGATCAGATGATCTTGGACCACAGCACTCAACTGCACCAGCAGCAAGCTGTCGCACTGAAAGAAAATTTTAATTCTGACAAAATTTTCTATAAAACATATAGAATGGCAATGGAGATTCTGTATTTTCTACTCACAGTGAACATTAAAAACATAATTTCAAATGATGTAATGACTCACTACCTTAACAACTATTAAAACTGGAAGCCTGTGATGTAAAGGAATTAAAGACTGAGAAGAACGCAACATCTATTCCATCTCACCTGGAATAGATTCATCATGTTCTTTCACCAATTCTGCTGAAATACAATAACCAGGACTTGGTTGCTTGACAGCTTGCACAATACAGGTATACCAAGAGTCACTATCAAGGACTTCACACTGATTAACAGCAACGACACGATCACCTGATCGCAATCCAGTAACACCCAAAACAGGAGAACCCTATGACACAGAGTAATATACTTAATCAAAGTGTACTAATTTTGATTGCTAATAAAACCATTTTATTTTTACTCCCATTTACCTACAGAAACTTACTCCTACTTATAATTGATTATTATATATTAGGTTGTTGAAGTATTGCTAAAAGTTTTTCAGTAGTGAAACATTGATTTCTAGGTTCTGACAATCTCCTCCATACAGATTTCTTTCTTTCCAATATGTGACTTATAGACTTCTAAATTTGATGTTTTAAGAATGAAAGTTCACTCATACTATACACCATGACATAAAATTTACAGCTGGTAAATTTAAGAATAATAGGAGTATAAGATAGGGCCTGAAATAATTATTTAACAAAACTATGCCTAGTAAATATTATAGCACAGAAGGTGCAAATTGGTAACATTGTTATTTTGATTAGTAAAATCATTGAGGAAAGATTCCTGAATGTTAAAACCATAATGTAATTAATGCCATCACAACCTATAATTTCACTGCACATCAAAGGAAAATTGCAATATTTGCCAAGGAAGAAGAAATTTTAGAACATAGTAATTCATATGCAATACTGAAAAAAGCAAATTTTTGTCAGTAAAAGAGAATATTAATTGATTAATAGTTAAAATAATTGACTTAGTGTACCATAGACAAAATTTACTTAAGAAATAGACAAAAAGGAGTTAACAAAATATTTCATGATACCATGTCTATGCTCTGAACTGCTACACCACTTCCAGAATCAAAGGCTGGATAGAACAGCAAGGGCAAAAGTGCAAGAAGTACAGCAGCGCCTACAGTGAGTACCACATTGTGCCAAATACCAGCACACAATATTCGCAATTGTCTCTTCGGAGGCAAAGCTTGGAGCTGTTCAGTATTTAAATGGACATATGCAATGGGTAGTACCAGAACAAGAAGAACTCCTAAGCCAGATATATGGACATCTTCCCTGCAAAAAGAAATGAAAAGGCACAATTTATGAACATGTTTTCACCATATACTGTAGAATAACATATTCTAAAAAAATTTAATGTTTTGCTACAGTCACAAAAAAAATTGGGCAATATCAAAGCAATTGAATTAATATGAAATAATTCTAAAAATTGTTCAAATAAATATAAATAATCACTTATGACATCCCAGTAATACTGATTTACCCTGTTTATTCCCATTAAGTACAATTTCAGTGTTCACTGTTTCAGTTTTTCTCAAATTGTGAGTAAATCCGATTAAAACAAGTGATGTTAGCAGAATTGCTTAACTGTGCTCCATGATATCACGGAAGTTAACCAATTCGTCTCCACAGATTGCTGTATGGAATACCATCTGGGAAACCCGTTTACTAACAGTGCTGAACCCCTGGATGAATGGAGGAAAGGCATCAAGTTACTGCAATGGCTGCAAGTGACACACAACAAATAACTTTACTGAGGAATAAACCGATATACACTCAAATAGGTCTAAAGAGATGTCTTGTGAAAAAGACACAATGATTTATTTTTTTTAAATAGGTGAATTAAACACTTCTGAAAGTCCAATAACTAAATAGAGTTTAGAGTAATTAGGCTTAGAGTGATTGAAGGTGAAAATTGTTACTGGGTCTTTATAGGGAGTATGCAACTACACATACATACATACATACATACAGCTGCCCCTAGCAACCATGATTGTAGCCAGGGTTGGGAAAAATACTTCAAATTTAGTATTTAAATACATTTGGACTTGCGAGTGCTAAATATATAATAATTTTGTATTAGGTATTTTTTATGGCAACAACATAATGTAATTGACAATAAGAGTAAATTAGTAATTAAGAGTCATACAAATTTCTGAATAATTATTGTTGTTTTGTAACCATGTGTATACCATATGTAAGTACATTTTCAAATATAAAATGATATCAAAATGTGTCTATCACAAAGAAATGGAATTTCCTTTTAAAACGACTAATTTTTCAAACAAATCATTAGACAATAAACCCTAGTTGGGGAATGTATAAAACAAGGAAAACAGTCATTCAACTGGTGTGGATGAACATAAAGTTGTGTTGTAATGAATACAGGTTGTTTTATATTGCTAGATAATTGTCCAGCAGTTTTAATGACTTAGATTTATCTTTTAAAAATTAAAAAATACAAATTCAACAGCTGAAAGGAGCTTTTATTTTTGTTTCAATGAGGTGCATTCACTTGCGGAATCAAACAAAAAGAAACTATCCTCAATCTAAACTATCTCCTTTATCTGTATTTGAAATATTTTACTTTACCTTTTTTTTTTAATACACCTAGTTTATATATTTAAATACATCTCTTAAATACATGGACAAAAAACTCAAAAATACAGTTTTTCAAATACAAAATGTATTTAAAATATGTATTTCATATACAAGTATTTTAATACTGCCCAACCCTGATTGTAGCAAGTACAGCAGGTTGGTTCATGAGAAGCTATTTATATTAATAAATAATAGGTATTAATGAATCTTTTTCTCACATGCAAATCTTTCTAGTTGAAACTCATGAGAAGTGTTGCTTGGACCATTTACTAAATGCTAACTTACACAACCTTCATGACCAGGGGCACATAATAATTTAGGGGGGCTTCAATCGCGCATTAAGGGTGTGTTACATGGGGTAGAGGTGGTATTCAAAATACTCCATATTTGTCTTACATTGCTTATGAACGACCCCTAATTATGAAAATGATCATTTTCACTGCATAATATATGATTGGTTTGCAGTTTGATGAGAAGATTCAACAGAAAATAGCTAGAGCTGAGAACATGGGTCACGATATTGAAACTTTTTAAAACCTCTGGAGTGTTTGAAATATTGGTTTTTATGATAGTCACCTACAAGGAATTCACTTGTTTTAACTATTCATATATGTATTTTTGCTAATATTAAATGTTTTCCTTTGATTGTAATGCAAACCCTATCCTTTTCTTTCTCAGTCTTTTTTGTATGATTGCTTGTTTTTACTCAAACATTATTGATCATAAACAGATGTAATACTAAATGATAAAGATTTATTTACAAAATCTACCCCACAAAAATCGTTAATCTGTCAAAATAGAAAAATTGAAATATACTTTGTTCTTTTCCCAGCCCTACAATAAACTATTATTCTTACCTAACAGCAGCAATAGCATGGCCTACTTCATGAACAATACTGCATGTTACTAGAGTAATTGCATAGTACCCCAAGTCACTGAGTGGCAAATTTAATCCTGGCACCTGCAACAAAAAACATTTCACATTGCAATAATAGTAATTTATGGTGCCAGAAAATAAAATCATATTTTTTGTATGTAAGTGAGGAAGTTCGGCAATGATATTAGGAGCCTTAGGGGCTAATTCCCAAAAGTGAAGAATATATTTATACTCGAGTACCATGTTATTTTATTCATTACCTATGAAATGAACAGAAATGGGAAAAGATTAAAAATGTACTATTGCATGTGTAGACAAAGTGACAAGACCTTTCACTGTTTTAAAGAGATTCTTGCCAAGACAACATAAACAAATTTACCAACTGTAATAAAATGTATTATCAGTAAAATAAAATTTTATCTGAAAGTTAATTGTTATTACAGTCTTGTTAGCTAAACAAGACTATCATGTGCAAGTTAGTTGATTCTTCATGAGAGCAGTAGCACAAGTGTGTAATTACAAATGAGCACATAATAGTCATTTAGCCTTGTGTAATGTTTTCTCTTATTCGATCACCTGTTTAATATTTTAACATAATGCTTTTTAAATGAATGAAATTTATAATTAATGGTGTTATATAGACTTTGGTAGGACCCTTTAATACATTAGATATAATAATGAGCAATTTTAGTTCAGCAGGCAGTTTTATTAAATCGATGTAATAATGAGCTGTTTAAACTACACCATAAATGTAAGTTAACTGCATTTACAGGCGATCAGCTATGCAATTTTTATCACTGAAGAATATAACTGTTTTACACTGCCAAGTAACTCAGAACACATGATGGTTTTTCCAACAGTAATGGATAAAAAAATTCATATTGGTGTGTTTGAAACTAGTGTTTGCAAGGTTTGCAATAAATGTGAATTCTCACTGAACTAATTTTGTTTTGTAATAAAAAATCTGTTCAATATAAAAATTAGTAACTATTGAACAGACACTTTAATCCGGCATAGGTTTAGGCATCATTAACTTCTTCTCAATATCTACATTACAATACACGATACTGAATCTCCCATCAATAACTGACAAAATATACTCTTTATTTATTTTATTTTCTAATTAATTAAATAAATTTTCTTATTGATTTACTGAGCACAAAAAAATCTTCTTTAATTTTTCAAATATTTCTCTATCAGAATGAAAATAAATGATCAAGAATGAATAATTTGCTTCTCTTAATTAGAGATGTCCTTGTTGCAAATACAAATTTATGAAATATTGTTTTCTTACAATAGCAGCCTATTATGATAGAATGTGAAATGCTTTTAATGAAACATGAAAAATTTGTTTAATATTATAACTCTTGATTATAATAAATTAATGAAATCTCAGTCAACAACAAAACAATGAATATCAAAATTTGTCACAGATTAACCTTAACTGTCAATCATTTCAATATTTTCATTAAAGATTTCAACAATTACAACTTGATGAATAAAGATAAGTCTAATTGCTTGCGAGAGAAATTTTATTGCAAATATATTTGTTATCTCAAGTCAAAATCTTAACGGCAGACTTGTATGCATGCACAAACTTATCACGAAGTCAGTCCAAAACATCTAAAATAATTTTTGGGCACATACCATTGGTTCAAGAACAAGAGTTTGTTGACTCACAACTCCATCACCATCAGTCTGCCACAAGTCAATTGACGCTTTGATTATGACATACGTGGCAAGAGGAAGAAGACCAAGTGAAAACCATGATCCCACAGTAAACCAACACTGAAGAAGCTTTGGATGCCATGTTCCCCACTTCTGAATAATGCGATTAAATGCTGTCGTAAACCAACGAATTTTAAAGGCTTCAATCTGAAGTCCAGTATTTTGAAGAAAATATAAATATGGATAATGTGAACAACTCTGCAATTGAAAGATCATTTAAGTACAACAGATATTTAGAAACAATGCAGAAGTCCATGTATCCATCCATGTATTTATACAATATAAGTATAATGTATATTACCTTAAAAAATGTGTCCAGAAAAAAAAGTGCACAATGCAGAAGACCAATGATTATCAAAATATTTAAAGGATCCATAGTGCATTAAAAAAACATAAATAATTCAACTTTTACTTTCAGCACTTTGTGCTAATTGGTATAAAAGTTGCATCATTCAGCTTAATAGTACGTAAAGTTTGAATGTTTTATCCAAAATTATTTACTTCTCAAGTTTTATGTAAGAAAACACCTTGCATTTTGTGCAGGTCTGGCATCGACAACAGTTGAAGGTAAATGCCTTTCCCGCCGGCTTCATACGCAAACACATACATGCATGCGAAAATTGCGGACAAGACTAGGAATAGAATAGGATGACATTTACTAATTGAAGTGCGGCATGTGACTGCTTGCTTGAGTCAAAACCGGCACAATTTAGTGCATCCATTCACATTTGTATTTTTTATCGAAACAATATTTCAAACAATCACATTTTAAGTATTTGAGGTCGTGCTAATTATCAACCTTAATCACATAATTACGAACGAGATATAAAATTTGCAAGGGAAGCCTTCATTTTTTGCAGGAAACATGTAAACCAATGTAAACAAATCAAGAACTCGGTAGTCTGCCACCTCGATTGTATACCCCTGCAACTGCTGTCACGGTCTATTGCTTGCTATCGCACTTCCCAGTGACCTGCACCACGTATGGTACAATAATCACCATAGAATAATATTACATCTTTCGCGTTCAGTCAGAGTCATATTTTTGCATGAACAATTTTAGATATACTCTTTGGTCATGAAAGAATAAAAGAAGTTTCAACCGGATAAATATGTCATCTGATTATGCTGATGTGTAAATGCTTTTGAACTGAATTATTGTTATTGATTCAAGATATTAAAGTCAACAGGATAATACAGTGTAATAACTCTTATGTGAGCATCATTCAGGCCCGAGTAGGATTCCGAGTCGGAATTTCCGACGCTTTCTGATTAAAATTGGGAGTCGATTGTGGTGTTGGCTACCCTAGCCATACACTGTTGGCTACTGACATCTTGCGTTGATTTGGCATAACCCGTCCCATGGTCGTCTGAATAGCGCAGCGCTGGGGAAGAGATAAAGACGATAACTTAGTAACCCTATCCATATCAGAGGCAAACCAATACAGCGTCGACAAATTCCTGCGAGTTGTAGGAGTTTTGGGGGAAGTGTGGTGCGGTCTGCAGGATGGCGGATACGACTGTAGATGCAACTCGTCGATTGAATGTGAAAAAGCAAACGCTTGATGATGCGTATGCTGCCCCAGCCAATTTCCTGGAGATTGACGTTATAAATCCGATTACTCATGGCGTTGGAAAGAAGAGGTATACTGATTATGAAGTTCGTATGAGGGTAAGTTCTAAATCCAATTCTTGTCATTGATTGTATTCCGCCGACAAGATTGAGCAATATTTGACATTTTAGTAATAGCTCGTTAAGGAGGAAAGTTACTCATAATTAGTGATCACCACTGTTAATTCATGAATTAAAGGAAGCCTGGTGGTCCAAATGTAATTTTTATTGTGTAATTATCTGTTTAGACAAATTTGCCAGTTTTTAAAGTTAAGGAGTCCAGTGTGCGTAGAAGGTACAGTGATTTTGAGTGGTTGAGAAATGAATTGGAAAGAGACAGTAAAGTAAGTTTTTCCTGTTCTTATTTATGTTAACGTTTGATTTTCTTTCCATATTTTTCTTCTATTAATTGCACATTCTTCTTTTGTACTGTAGATTGTTGTTCCACCCTTACCTGGAAAAGCCTGGAAACGTCAGATGCCTTTCAGAGGAGATGATGGAATATTTGAGGAAGATTTTATAGAGGATAGACGGAAAGGATTAGAAGTATTTGTTAATAAGTAAGTTCTATGTGTAAAAGAAAAGGAAATTTGTATAGGAACTAACAAATCTGTTGAGAATCAGAATTTTATTATTGTATTAACAGTGTTTTAATATTTTCAGAATTGCTGGTCATCCTCTTGCTCAGAATGAGAGGTGTTTACACATGTTTTTGCAAGAACCCGTCATTGACAAAAATTATGTCCCTGGCAAAATAAGAAATGCGTAATGCTCAGTTTTGTGCAAGATCTGCGGGACTTGCCTGTAAAAAGTGTCAACATGTTGGACATTTATTTATACACATAAAGATCTTTTGAGGTTCTTTTGAAACATGGTGACATGTTTATGAATTAGAATTGTTTAAAATTGCATTATTTGATTGTATGTATTCATATATATGTGTACCTCTCAAGAGCATTCATTATTATATGTATTATTAGTGAAGTTATTTCAGTACACTCCATTACATTAGTGGTCAATATTGTTATTGTAGTTGTTACTTTAATACTGACCTTTATTGTACAGTTTAATTTTTCAAGAAGAAATGACAGAATTATATGAAATTTAATATGTATTGTTTATTGTTAGTGTATGTACTATTTTGGAAAGGACAATAAGAATTTGTTTATAAATGCGTTATTTTTTGTGTCCTTTTTTTATTTCAAATGGGAGTGCAGTGTTTATGAATGTAAAGGAATGATTGAATTTGGCTGATTCTACCAGCAAATACATATGTTATTTATTATGCATAAGTCTTCGTCTTTATCTATTAATTATCCACAACCTGTAATTGTGACTTTTTCTGGTGAATATCAAAATATGAAAATTTGGACATAAGTTGAAAGAAAATTTATAAAAGTGCCAGGAATAGTGAGAAATGATAGTTGTGACAATTGCAAGAGATATTGTTAGGGGAATTTTGAACAAAGAAAAAAAAACTAGATGAATCAAAGAAGTTTTCAAAATACAAAGTTTGTTTTGATTTTCTAATTTTTATTGGCACAATTGGCTTAATTTACTACTATTGGGATCAAGAAATTACCTTATCAATGTTCTTGGATTGGTTTGTCATAATTACACGAAACTTGAGCATTGCTCATTTTTCAGTACTTTTGCTTTCTCTTATTGCTCATAAATATAGTCAAAAATGTTACACACGCATCTCCATGGAGCTCGATTTTCTACTCTAAAGGAAGCACCGTTTGATTTGTGAAAGTAGTTTACTTGGAAATGTTACATAATATACAAACATTAAATAGAATCATCAACTGGATGTTTGTTTTTGTAATTTTCCACTGTAATTTATTTCATTATTCTAACCTACATTCTTCTAGTGTTATTATATTATGAGCATTTTGATTTCATTTCTTTGCAACAAAAACAATTTCATTTGCTTTTCTGAAAATTTGTTATTATAGGTATTTGTTAATGCATTTAAGTTAAAATGACATCATTGAAAATCGTGTAAAACAAGACTATAAATATATTGAAAAAAATAAATTATTTGGAATATTTAAATTTACTTGCAAGTGTTAATTTTTTTAAAAGTAGAAACTACTTATGGATGCGAGTCTTCCTGACGCCAGACGTCCTTGCCTCGTAGTTCAATTATCTCCTTCCAACTCGCTCTCAATTCCCTGTGACCAAGAGAAACAATACAATGGTATGTGATATTAAGTGATTATTACCCACTAAGAAAAGCACTACTCAAGCAAAAAAAACATACAAATTTTAAGAGAATTTATTGCATCACTTACTCGCATAAATTTCTAATCGATATTGTATTAGGAAGCAACTCCACCATCAACTGAATGCATGGTAAACACACAAATGTGATAAATTGGACCTGATCTTCTGGTATCATTTGTTGCTTTTCTCGATCCATCAAGGATAAAGGGCTCAGGCCCATGTTTCTTTCAGTATCCCCCTGTTCATCATGAAAGTGATTATGAATCAATTGAATATTATTTCAATGTTTTAATTCTACAGTTATTTGTATATATTTTTAGTCAACTAGAAAAAAATCGTCTCATAATATACTGGTAAGTAGCATTTGAATGAATGTCCACTTAGTTCTGAATTTATTGACTTTTTAAAATTTTATTTAACATGTTATTAATTTTAAAAATTTGAAATTTTCATCCAAGTCGTAACCTCAATGGAAAACATGAATAAAAGTAATTTTGGCGTGTTTTTTACTCATTAAACATCATTCTATTACTGACTGGATTTCAAAAATTTATATTATTTATATAAGTTCACAAAATTGGTTTCTGAATTCTTCAAAATAAAAGTAGTGGAGGTAGTTTGTTTTTTGAAACTGCCGTTACCATGAGCTGTTTAGATAGTTTATGAGTATACAGCAGGATGGGATTGTTTTCCTACAGGCAAGTGTAGTTTTAAAAAGACTAATTTCTTATGTGTAAGTTTGTAAATACACTAGGAAAAGTCATAATATTTTGTAGTATACCAAGACTTTGAAAAACTATAATGTTTGAAACAAATTTCAAATGTTTAATTATCATATATGTACATAAACCACCAATGGACCCACAGGGAGATGTGTGGGACCTGTTCCCTTACACTCACAACCCTTGGAACTCTATGCAATATGTATTCCTTATTCACGTATGGTTAAAATACAATACATTATTTTTAAAAGTAATTTATTATATACATTATGTTATCCATGTACTTGAATATTAAAAGAGATATTTTACAATACTTACAATAAATTTAGCTTTTCAAATAAAAAAACTTTCTTTTTTTTTACTTATTTAAGACCACTTTTCAAGTACTGTCATACAGCAACCACTGTAATTAACATTGATTTTGTAACTTTGGGGGTTACACAGTAACGGTAGCAGAACTCGCACATGGACACAAACATCCCTGCCCCAGGCCAAATTCAAAATCGTGGCCCTTCAGGCACAAAGCTTTTACAGGGTTAACAGCCGCAGCTATCCTGGCAGGCAAAATAACACTTCTGTTGGTGCTCTTCCCTTAGACAGTTTCTAGGACTGAGCCTGTTGGAAATAGTGTGAAGATTAAATAATGCAATGTATTGCACTATTCGTAAAAATAAAAAATTGAAACTGTGTTTGCCTTTCCATCTAAATTATATATTTCTATTCCATAAAATTTCATATCAGCCACAGCAAGATATATTTTTAATCTTCAGATTTGGCTTGTGATACATTTTGACTGGATACCTCCATCATGTTTCATAAAATTTATATTTTGGTTTTTGTTAGCTCCTTTAATTTCTCAAGTCATCAAATATTCTGATTTTTCTTTTTCCTCTTTCCCATCTATTTTGCCTTCTATTAATATTTTATCAGTTTCGTCAAGGCCAGACTATCCCAAATTGCCTTCTTTATTACTCCTATCAGTTTCCTATCTTCTCCTGTTCTTCTGAGCCTTATTTCATTACTCTATAAGTAATTCAATGTGTTTTCTGCATTTTTCTCCATAACCACATTTGGCAAATTTCTTCTTGTATTAATTGGAATACTTCTGTTGTAAGTAATTTTACTCTCGTGAAGGCTTCCTTTCATAGTGTTATCTTTTTTTTTTTTCTTCTTCTTCTTCTCTTCTTCTTCTTCTTTTCCTTATTCATTATTTTTTCTTCTGTTCAACTTCCATTTCAAGTTTCAAATTTCCCAGGTATATAAACGACTTGACTTGTCCTATATTTCCTCCAACAATATGCTTAAAATGTTTTCGTACTTAAGCACAAGTATCCTTTGCTTTTGGGGCCATCCGTAAACTATGTCACGCTTATTTGACCTTTTTTATCCCCTCCCCCTTTTCATAACAATTGTCACAAATAACTTCAACCCCCCCTAGTATAACATACTGAATTGACCCCCATCCACTAAAAAAGTTTAATTCATACATAGTATATAAATAAATGATAAAAAAATATATCACAATCAATATTTTATAATCACAATCTGTAATTTCTATAACAATAGTAATTTATAAAAAATATTAAAAATAGTATTTTAAGTTAACCATAATAAGAATTATTCATCGTTAGTTCATGAAGCACTGAAATGCAAATCCAGGTTGGTGACCTCTGCAACTTCACTGCCTGAAACAGTTGGAAATTCAAAACAACTTGACATACAAACTTCTCTTCCATCCATTCAGCGTCTTCTTGGTTCACAATATTCCTAATTATTGTCAGAAAACCATCTTAAAAAAAGCCAAAAAAATTTCTTACAAAAATTTCGTTTTATCTTAAATTTCTACCATGATGTCACAAAATTTAAAACCTCCCTCCCACTTGTATCACAATAACTACAAAATTAATTACTCCCCCCTCTCCCAAGGGTGTGATATAGTTTATAGACAGCCCCTTTTGACAAACAATGACGTTCTTTTATTCAAGAAAGTCTTTGTCAATACACAGCGTTTTTTACATGTTACTACACACATCTTTAGGTATATACAAATAATAAATAATTGACATGTTTATATCCGGTAAAAAAAAAAAATGAAGATATTGAATAAAATAAAAGAATCAGAAATAAAAAGTTACATAGAAATCAGAGATCAATAAGTGAAAGGATACTCATGTTTAATTATTAATATTTACCTAGCAATTATAATTTTCTCATATCTGTTTAAAATGTTTTTAATTCTACTGACTGATTACTTTTTTTATACATTTAATTTCATTCTAAATTATTTTCCTACATTGTGGTCAAACTCTATCATTATAATAATCTATAAACTATATTAATAACAAACTCTCTGGTTTAGGAACGTATAAAGAAGACTAAACACCGTGAATGTTTTATTTACATATTTAAAAATATTGTTAAATGCTTCAACCTCTACTCTCTATGGTACACTGTTAACTTCTGTAAGTAATATTCAAAGCAGTGATCTTTCCAACTCACTACTGACTTCAGTGTATATTTAATTGTTGCAGTTTTTGAAGGTCCTGGTTTGCTTACTACTACTTCCCACCCAAGACCTCATTTTTTCTTCTGAACTAATGAAAGCCAAATGAAAAAAGTCTTCTTCTGTTTTTCCTCTAAGTGTTTTTAGGTTCTAAAAAGCCATGCACATACATACAGTGAACATAGTTTGCAACTCTTTTGGCTACTATTGAATCCAGAGGTAGTGACAAAGCATGCAAAACCCATGGATCCGACTCTCAGTATTTATTAATTTGCAAAATTAATTTTAATAAAGTAGCAATTATTTAATGAATATTGTAAAATTGTATTATAACCACAGTGAATATTCTACAAATTTCATATCAATTGTATGAGCTAAAAAAATTGAAAACAAATTAATGATGAACATATTTTCCTGATAAACATCCATAAAGTTCATCAAAAAATTGAAAAAATCAATTTTTAAGATTGAAATTTAACAAGACAAAAATATTAAATACCAATTGATATACTTTGTTGATCATTTCTTCAGTCTTTGCACACTTCTGTTTACGTTGAAAATTTATTCCATACCTGATGATAAAATTCACGATAAAGCCGACCAACAATGACTTTTGCAATACAAAATGGTTTACATTGTCCAGATAAGTCACATGTAGTCATCATGATACTCTTCAATAGGCATCTGTGTTAAACAAAATATTGAAAAATGATACATGTTTTAGTTGTAATACACCCACAAGATAATAATTATGTTCATAAGTTCTATATTACTATTGTTAGACAATAGTACATGTATGATTGGGTAAAATGGAAGAACCCAGAGAAAACCAGCTGAAAAACTGAATCCACTTTGGAAGCCCCAAATTCCTCATGGATCGACACACAATTTACCATTGATCACCACAGAGGAAGGCAAGCAGTCTGACCACTATCCCACAGGTCACATGAGATAATTCACTGTTATTTTAGGATATTACAAACCTACAGATAAGTGTAATTTTATTTTACTAAATACAGCAATAATAACATACTATCATCGCCTGTAATAGGGAAAATTACTTTCTAAGAAATGAGATAGCTTTACTACAAAATATTTAGTGTATTAATTACAAATATTTATAAATAAAATTTATCCAAACTGAAGAATAACGACATGAATAATTTTTTTCAAACTTTTGCAAAATTTGCATCATTATGAAAAAAATTAGCCTTGTGACTAGCTGTTGGTCAGTGTGCTTGCTTTCCACAACGTGGCCCTGTGTTCAGTTATAGTGTGCATTTACCTAGCAATGTCCCAGTATATGTTGCTGTGTGACGATAAGAAATTTCACTTCACTTCTCAGGTTGAGAAGACCAGAATACGGCACGGGGATGTCTACGTGCTAACCAAATGTACCCCCTTAACCCATGGCCATGAGGCAGGGACGTCGCCGGAAGGCCTGAGCTGTTGCGTCAAGTACGTAAATACATATATACACAAAAAAAAATAATTTTCAGAACTCATACATCATTATTTATTTGGCTGTTCAGTAGTCGCTGTATCCTAGGCACAGATGCCAAGATTTCAGCCGTCTTGCCCTGAGGAAGATCACAGCATGTTAGCTGAAATGTTGGCATATGAGACTAGGCCTCCCAGACAGCCAAATAGATACTGATTTCAGGTGTGGAAGCCTACCCTTTCACATACTCCATTCTCATTCTCGTGTCTGAGTCAAGTTTTCAAACTTCCAACATTCTGCTTTGTGAGTTAATTTTCAAAATCTTTCAGCACTTAAATTGAAAGAGGAGAAAGTTAATTATTACCTGTGGGAACCTTCCGTCCAGTCAAACTGTTTTTCACCCATTATTTTCACAATGCGCCCTCTTACTCGAAAATAATATGCCAAATCAGTAGCAATTATTGCATCATGTATTTCCTGAGTAAGTTCTTTGAATGTCTGTTTACTCAAGTTAGAGAAGATGTCACAGGTCTGAAATTAGAATGATCTGTTTCTTCATTCGGCATTCCAAAATGTATCGTTTATTAAAATATAATGAAGAATCTTTTCAACTTCCAAGTTTTTCACACACATATCACACAAGCAACTAAAATATGAATATTGGTCTTTAGCAAACTAGGATTTATCATAGTGGAAAGGCAAGAAAAGTTTAGAAAATTGACAAAAAATCAAAATTAAATTGCTACACAATTTTGTTTTGCAGAATTTTGAGACCAAATATTTATTAACAGCATCATATTTTATGCTTGTTTTTCTATTTCAAAAATTAAATACTTACATTTATTATAAGCATGGCAACCTGAAAATGATGGTTTTCCAGTGTTGATTCAGTATATAATAATGATAATGCATGGTTTGTTAATTGGAGAAAGTTGTTGGTGTATCCAGGATGATCTAGATCATGGCAAAGAGCTGCAATAGTAAGTCCTCTGATCTACAAAAAAAACAAAAACAAATACTAGCTATGTGGAAGAATAAGTTTCTGCTAATCTATGCCCTCTTTTGAAGTAAAATCCTAATCATACATGCCCTACCTCCAGAGGTGTGAAGATATCCAAATTTCGCTTTAGCAGGTTATACATGCAATGCAATACATTAAATGCATGTTCAAAATTGTGGTATGGGTTATTCCGATATGATTTTTTGACAATTAGCACAAAATCTTTCCAATTCTGTAATTCTGACTGTAATTCATCAATTAATTCACTATAAATGTGAAGGGTTAAGTCACAGAGTCTATCTTCATGACCAAAAACATACCATCCAAAGCTGTAAGAACTGTGTAGGTCACTTTCTTGCACACACACACACGCCAAAAAAAAACTTAATTTTAAGGCAAATCTGTGAGTAATTTATGAATACATACGTGTTAAAATCTGGAGGCAAATTATCAGCAGGATAGATCTGCACTCTCTCTCTTTCAATAGGATGTGGTCTCATGTGAAAAGTCAGCATGTCAGTTTTAATTTCATTTTGATATTCCTGAAGATAGAAAGATGTTCATTAATAAAAATGACACACATTTGTAATTAAAAGCAATAATGGATTTACTCACTATTTGTTTAATTTTTGTCTGCAAGTTAGCGTACTGTATAGCTAAAGCACAATACACCAAGAATATTTTAAAAATTTTCTCATCTTCTGAAGTAAAGCAAGGGCCGGTCTTCTTGTTTACCAACTGAACAACTCCTGAAAATAAAAGAAAAGAAAAAAGAATTCTATAATTCTTGTTGGGAGCGCAAATAATGTTTCTTATACAGAAACAAAGGAAGCTGCATCCATACTGGGGAAAACTTTAAGAACTCTAATGAACACGAATGTGATAGCGGTCAACATATCACACAAGTCTGATCTCCGCAGCAGTTCAATCGTCAACAAAAAAGTGACAAGGCTAATGAAGTGTATAGAAAATAATGAAAGTCTTTTAAAAAAGTGAATGTTATTAATACTCAAACATGCAAAGCTGTAAGAACTGTGTGGGTCACTTTCTTGCACAAAAAGGAATTCCTAATTTTAAGGCGTGAGTAATTTATGAATACACTTTCACATTAGATATGGTCAGATTTCAATAAGAAACAGAAACAAGCTGTGCTCTACAGTGTAGATGTTTGTTAAAGACAAATTAAGAGACATGCAGTCATTGCTAAAACAATGTAGTCATTGCTCTAGGTAATGGTATTCAGTAGGGAAATGGTCAGTGGAGCCAATGGAACTTGGCCTCTCCATGATAAAGGCATGTCAATACATGAAGACAAAGCATCTCAAAAACAGTTCAGAAAATCAAAGAATCAAGCTAAGTTGAAATTTTTTTATCAGAATGTTCGACGACCAGGAACTAAACTGAAAAACTAGAAAAGTATTTTAGTTTAATCAATACGTACACTGTCATTGTTCTAGCAGAGACCTGGTTCACAAAAGACATTGGCAGTGAGGAGGTGATTTTAAAAGATTTCAACACAAAAAGATAATACAGAAATAATCATAATAGCTCCTATGTCTGGGGAGGTGGAGTTTTAATAGATACTCTCACTAGTAGTGTTATTGAATCTACAAATGATGTAGAGCATTTGTTTGTATGTAAAAAAAAATGTGAATGTTCAATTGAAACAATAGACATGGCACATCCAGATTATAAACGGGTTATATTTGGTGATTACACTCTACCCAATACTAAGTGGTTGTACAGTGAATACACGAGTTATCCATATTTTAACGATAAAGCTACTCTACATGAAAAGAATATCTCGAATATCTTACCCAACTCAGTGGGTCTCTTAAACTTATATCAGTGTAATATAGTATATAACAGGAGCGAGATAATCTTAGACCTAATTTTCACTAACTCAGATAGTGTTTATTGCACAATCCATTGATTTTTGCGGTATTCATCATTCCTCTTTATCTACAGACTTGTTGATAGATTCACCAACCTCATGTGGTTCAAAGTATGATTGGTTTTATGACTTCAGATCAGTAAATTAACTGAGATCACCCAAATATTTGGGATATGTTTGCGAGAACAGTAGTAGCTAACTTGCCACTGTGACTGTGTACTGTTTAATTTACTCAACTACATTTATCAATGCATTGAGATGCATATTCCAAAAAAAGATGGTTTACAAATTAAGGTTCCCAGGGTAGTACAGTGCTGAACTTTAAGCCACATTAGTAAAACGATTCAGGCACATAAGAAACACAAAGTAAGTAATTCACAAGCCAAATATGAGGAATTTTCCAGCATAGATGTATGTGTTAGATCTTAGCTAAAAGAGACTATGTCAATTATATCTTAAGCATAGAAATAACAACTAGAACTAAATATTTTTGGAAGTTGCTAGGTCGAAAAAATGATACAAAAGTCTTACCTAACTCCATGAAGTACAGTTCTTCTGAATATACTTATCAACAATCAATACCCAATGCTTTTTCACAGTATTTTAAACCTTTTATAAACAGAATAGAAGGGTTGATTGGCAGAGGTCAGAAAAATTGCCCTGTAGCGTAGACATGATTGATATCTCAACAAAAGATTGTAATTAAAATAAATCAACTTTATTTCAATCCCTGGCAGATCCAGGGGACAGGGCCGTGCCCCCCCCCCCCCCCTCCAAATGCCTAGAGGTTTCATTTTTCTTCGTTTATTTGGCAAAATTGATTAAAATTTTTATTTATGTTAAAATTGCGTAGTTATTTATAAAATAATATTGTAAAGTATTGTATATACAATCAAAAATAATATACAATACAATAACAAATGTTTATTATTTAACAAAAATCTCTGATGGCCCCCAACAAAACAATCGGCTGGATCCGCCCCTGAATTTAATAAAAGTCCAGGGCCAGGGATTTCCACCTATTATTTTGAAATAATGTACATTTGTTTTTTCATATTATCTTAAAGGAATATTTGAGAAATCTCCATCAGATGATCAAATTCCATATATCAGGAAAATTGCTTTCATTATACAAATTTCTAAATATTGAGTTAAGAATGAAATTACTAATTGTAGACCTATAACAACAAATATTGTAATTTTCAAATTGTTTGAGTCATTCACAACTGATAAACTAAAGAATATTATTTGGTCATTTTTGTCACCTTATCAATATAGTTTCACAGAGGAGAAATACTGAACTGAACTTGTTGTGCTATAGGGGGAGCAGGGGTTACAGTGAACCACAGGGTACTGAGAACCATTGCATATATTTTTTGTTGTTGTGGAGGGAAAATTTATTTGAAAATATAGAATGTTTGGCATCACCGGCCGCCTGCCTCATGTGAAGACTGCAAATAGGTGCCTAGGATACACACTGTTTGCATATTTATTAAATTATAAATTCTGTGTTTCTACACAGAAGAAAAAAATAAATATTGTGAAAGAAACGGAAGTGACAATTTTGACTCGTCTCTTACATAGTTTACATAAATTGCAGCCACTTGATGTATCATCCTTATAAATATTTTATAACAATGCACTTGGTTCTTCTAGGCCAAGTCTTCAAGGAAAGCCAATCACGATTTACCATGTTACAGAGTGTGTGAAGTCTGCCCATGAAAGAGCTCTAAACTCCTTTAATACTATTTCTGGATTTAGAAAAAGTGGTATTTTCCCTGTCGATAGGAATGTTTTCGAAAATTCTGATTTTTCAATGACATTACAAATATAGAGATGAGAGCCTTGATTCAATGCACCCCAAAACCAGTTCTAATGAGGACACATTCCTATTTGATCCAAAAAAGAAGGGTTTAGAGTAACAGAGAAAGAAGACAGTGAAAGATAAGCTGGTAAAACAAATTAAGAAAATAATATTTTGCAATGATTCAGACTTGCAAGATCCTCTCATCAAACTGAAGAGTGTATCCTCAACAGAAAATGTGAAGATTGTCCATCCTGAAGAGGAATGATAGAATTTGATAGAATAAAATAAAGATAGGTCACTTTGTTTTAGTTTCTTTTTAAAATGATCAGGACAAGAAAATGCTTTATACTGGCAAAATTAGAAAAGACAAGGAGGAAAAAGGTGGTAACAGAATATCTTAGTTGAAGAAGAGCCATAAAATTATAAGACATTACTATATTATCCTGAAGAAGAAGATATAAAAAGCTGTACATTAGTCTACTATAAAGATGCATTTAGGAAATCCACTATACTATGGGCACACCAAACGGAAGAAATTGTATCTTTCCTTTCCAATTAGTTTTGATAATTTGAACATTCATTAAGGTGATTTATAAGGGTTCCATCTTTACAAGTGTTTAAACCGTTTATGCATCCCTATTTAATTGCAATGTTTTTACTGTAGTGTGTAAGTGAGATATATATTTTGAATTAATAAGTACATGTGTTTAGTGTACATGTATTCAGTGTTGCTCAATGTTTTACTTACCTACAGAAATATAAATTAAAAATTTTAGAGGTGTCTAAGGCAAAGTAAAATATTAAATCATGTTTTACAGCAAAAAGTACAAACTGATTCTTTCATGTGTTTGTAATATGTAAATTTAAGAAAAAGTGGTTCACTGTTGCCCCTGCTTTCCCACCCAATACATACTAAATTCAATTGAAGACCTCACAGGTACACAGTGTTTACGCCAATTTTAGCAAAGTCTTCAGTTTGGTGGATCACAGATTAATGTTAAGCAAACTGGAACCTTTCGATATTAGGGGTCGCCATCCGAATTGGTTAGCCAGTTACTTGTCAGATGATGCTAGGTTGTGAAATACAAAGGATTCATTTCAGAAGAAATAGCTAGCCTGTCTAGAGATCCCCAAGGCTTTCATAAGAGACTGATGTTATTGAATATATTTATTAATAATATCTGTATGGCATTAAATAATGTAAATTATTTTTTATTTGTAGATGATTTAATTATTTTTTCTCATTAAATTATGATAGGATAGACATTGAGAGAGCACTTAGCAATCTGCACAATTGGTGTTAGAGAAATCATATGATTTAATTTATCCAAGTGTAAAATTATTACCTTTTTTTAACTGCTTTTAAAATCGCTTTTAATGCATGTGAAATAATGCAAGAACTAATCACATTTAGAAAAAATGTACATGATCATATTTAAAGAGAACCATATTGTATTACCAAAATAATCTCTATCTTCAATACTGTTACAGAATCCAAATAATTAAGTTACAATTAAATACATGCCATTTTAAAACGTTTACTTAGTTACAAGGGAAAAAAATGTTTAAAAAATTTGGAGTTGTTTTGGAGACAAATTTTAAAATGTCAACAAAGCTTTATGTAAAGTACCCTCAAAATCAAAATTAACATCAAATTCTAAAGTCCACAACATTAGCCAGATTGATAAGGAAATTTCAGTTTTGGCAAAAATCCTGCTTATGATTTAGCTGCTAGTGTTGTTACAAACGGTCCGTAAACCAATTTTTCAGTATCAAGGACTCACAAAACATGATTTCTACACAAAGTTATAGGAAAAGTAATTTACTGCATGTACGAACAAGAATGATCTACTTTTTTGGTACGAGAGACATACAAAACTATTTTTACTGTCAGAAAATCACCATTATTTTCTACAGCATTACAATACTATTTCTGTACTGTGTATGTAGTATGCAAGAAAGTAAAAATTACCTATTACATTATTGTCACGACCAATAATAGGCATACACAGTATAGATCGAGTGATAAATCCACTAGTGTCGACTTCTTTATGAAATCGAGAATCTGAATAGGCGTCCTTTATATTCACTGGTTCTCCTTTCCTTGCGACTAAGCCTGCTATTCCTCTGTCTTTACTGAACCTGAAATTTTGTATAAAATATATTGGTAACAATAAAAAAAAATTATATTTTGATCAACAATACAAAATTATTTTGCATTACACTTACATTATCTTAAACTTTTTTTTATGAATTGGAACATTATCTTCTATAGCTTCATCATACCAATCTGCAACTAGCTCATCACATTCTTGATCAATTATAAAAAAGCAACCACGCTCTGCTTGTAAAGTAGCTTTTGCAAATGTCTGTGAAGGAAGTCTTTTTAAAAGTCAATTCATTGATTATTGTGATAAATATCTGCACAATTATTTAGGATATCAAAACAGTAGAGACAATGATGTGTAGTTACGTAATAGAAAGTAAATTGATGATACTTACAACAATATCTGATATTATTTTATCTGTAACTACAACATCACAGAAATACAACTTTGTAAGTTCCAAGAGATAATCATTTAATTCTTGCTGCTTCTGCAGAATAATTCGCTGCTGATTTTGGTGAATAGCAGCTCCCATCCAACCCGTAACAGTTTTTATTATCTGAACATCACCCTATTGAATTGTAATATTAAAATTAATGATACATATCATTAAATTACCAGCCAAAACATACTGACTGATCTACAGATCTTTGAAGAATGACAGAAAGTTGCTTTCTTAGGACAATAAAAACACATGAAGCTGGAAATTTTATCTATATGTAAAATTAAAAAGTGTAAAAACCAAATGACTGTGGATTCAATAAGGTAAAATAAACTAAATAATAGTACTAAAAAAGCAAGATTAAGTATCTAAATAAATTATATCAATAGACAGAACTCAGTTGAAAGATCTCAGGAGATAAGAAGCAGGGCCAAGAAAATCTAATTTCTTTGTCTCTTTTGTATTTGTGCTAGCTGTAAGTACAATTATTTAACTGATTCTTGGTTCAAATGCCAGAATGTTTTGAGCAAAAGTGTAACATGAAAAAAGTATTTCCATCATTTCTTCAAAATGTTTATTATTTTTTAGATTCTGTCAGTCTAGTGAGCATGGATGATGCAAAGAGACTTTCAAGGTCCCTATGCATCTTGCTCTATGAGGAAAGGAGGGAGAAAATTTAATCCATGGGGAAAAAGCATGTAATTCAGAATAGGCCTACAGTTTTACTTGGAGAGCGAGGGGCACTACAACAGCAGCAGTAGTTTCTCACATTATTTGTTACAGTTACATAATTTTATAATAGCATATTGAACATTCAAACATTTTTTGCCCACACTAGGGCACTTAGGTTTCGCAAACATTTCACTTACAAGCTACATCCAGCATCCAGAGGCGGATCCAGGGGGAGGCCAAGGTGACATGGCCCCTCTAAAAGGCTTAGAGTTTTCGTTTGTCTTTTATTTGGCAATAATGATTTTAATATAATAATTTATATTAGAATTATGTAATTAATTTAAAAATAATATTGTTTAGTATTATGTACACTACAAAAATAATATATAATATAATAACCAATACTTTTATTTAACAAAAATCGACGATGGCCTCCTTCAAAACGATCGGCTGGATCCGCCCCGGACTGCACCGAAAGCCTGAGTTGTCTTACGAACGTTACCGACACTTCAAAATAAAAGTTGAATGCCTGCAATTTTCGAAAATTCAGATGTTTTAAGGAAATTTGGAACAAATGATCCAATTTTGGAGAACATATTTCCATAGGAAAAATGTCTTTCTTAAAAATTGTAGCTCTAGAAAGACGCCGGAAATAAACATGTTTGTAACTTTCGAAAATTTACCTGCGCCATTTTCATAGCGCAAAACTATACGTCGCAAAACTATCGCGTACTATTCAGGAGAAAAAAAGAAAAGAAAAGAAGTCATCGTTGAGAATAGTTTGAAAATTACGTTGAGGTTTTTTGTAAAGTACTGTAGCCCCCAAAATCAAAATCTCCGTTTCAATTCGAGCGCTCAACTTAACGCGACAAAGCCAGATCTATGGAGGATTATCATTTTTGGCGAAAATACTGAGAACGGTTTAGGCACTAGTGCAACACAGACGAATATGGTCTATTCAGGTCAGAATATGATTGTTTAGATTGATGTAGATATGATTGTATAAATGTTTGTTTTTGACAGGTTTTAAAACAGTTTAACATCGCCGAAGACCGCATTGCTCTGGGAAATGTATTCTCCACCAGCCTCGAACTGCCAGTTCCTGGCCAGTTCGGTGTGTGCTGTTAGATATTAGGGTAGTTTTTATGAGTATTTTACATAGTTCCGATATCTTCACTAATATAATATCAGAAGAATTTTTATAAATCATGCTGAAAAGCAGATGAGAATATGTATATGAGAGAATTAGGTCATCAAATGGATGTGAACGGATGAGCCATAAATGCTGAATTTCAAATAGCCCGCGTTGTTTACTGTCATCGTATATTTAATTAAGTTCGCCATAAACTAAACTTTAATCACAGAATTATGCACGTAAACAATATTTATTAAAAAGGAGTTGTAAATTTCACTTTTATCACATTCTATGTAGATAAATACCTCGATCTCATGCGCATGTAAAGCTCATGCTCATGCGCAAACGAAAAATAACACAGTAGGGAATAAACCTGCACCAGAACCAGTTAAGTCATCGTTTATGACATAAAATATCTGATCATTTCTATTAACATGTTTCTCAGTGACTACGCCCTCCAATTAAATAAGGTATCAATATCAATGAGAATTTTAAAAACAATTCACAATACTGGTCCATAGACCCTATACTGTCATTCGATATCAAGGACCAACAAAATGTGGATGACGACTGCACTTCTTATTAGGGGGAAATAATTAACTATCATTTAAATACAGACGTGGAGAAAATATTAGCAGAAACATTATTTATATTTTAAATTATGACTTAAGGTAAAAGCGTAGAAGTTGGAAGGGGGGGGTGTTAATTTCTGTCATGTAATGTGTAGATATTCGGAAGGGCAGCCCTTGATTTAATTATTAATTCAACCTGCAAAGAAACCATGACAACCATAACAATATTTCTGTTTTCTTGACGGCGCCTTTGGGAGCCGTAATTGAGGTGGTGTATCACATCGCTCTCTGATTAGCAAGAGTATTATAAACAACTTTGAAAGAGTAATATTATAAACAAATTTGTAGATCTGACAACTAATTATTACTCCCTTGTAGCTTGTCCTTTCACATTGGAACGTGTAAATTTGTGGGAAATAATATAATAAATAATAAATTTTGCAGAAAGTATTTTCACAATTCTTCAAATGTATCCCATTGTTGTCGGCCGTGATAGGTTACCACTATTATATCTGGGCATTACAATTGTTATTTATATTGTTATTTGTTATTTTACACATGGGCCATATACTTATTTCAAGAAAACAATGGATAGTAACATTTAACACAACTTAATAAAAAAAAAAATGGAGAGTACTATTTAATCATTTGAACAAATTTACAGGAACCAACATATATACTAAGTTTAATTCTGTATTGAACTTACCAAACTGTCCATTTCACTCATAGATACTTCTGGTTTGACTTACATGCCTTAATCACAGAAGGCTTACTTTACATGTAATCATAAAACTCTGGACAATTTCATTCCCTGGCAATAACTTATCTTGCACTAATTTCTTCCTTCACTGTGATGACACTAAGCCTATTGCGATAGTCAGTCCAAATTTTTCCCATTCTTGAAAACACTCTTTCTGTAAATGCATTACTTCCAGGAACAGACAACACATACTTGACAATTACTAGCATTAGGCAAAGAATGTATTCCAAGTTTTGAAAATATAAGGGTCCATTTTTATTCACACTGTTTGATAAGAAATAACTTGCAGAAACATATCCTTAATGATACAATACCTATTATGAATAGAGCATTCATGTCTACATGACTTCACAGTCCAAGTTTAGTTATGGCTTCTTCAAACTCTTTCTATTGTAAATCTTCTGTACGAATGAAGACAGAAATGATGGAAAGGGTTACTGTCATTGAAATTGAAGCACTTCTGGATATTTGAAATTGCATGCTCATAAAATCTCTTAACTTTGCAATTGTTGGTTTAAACGGAATGTAAGGTACTTGAGAGTCAAACCAACTTTATACCCATAGAACTCATTTTAAAAATCTACTGTAGTTCTTGGAGTAGGCTCTTTATAATTCCATCAACTTGCAGAGAAGGACATTGGCTCGCTCCAATAACAATATTCTATTATGACATATTCCTAATATAATTTCCATAATATTCTATTTTGGAAATTCCCTGGACACACCACAAGTTACTCCGCACAAATTTCATTATTCCCGGACTGTCCGGAATAATACCTGATGGGTGATAACACTATTGATGACTGAGTGATGTAGATAATACTATTATGAAAGAAAATAAGATTGAAAAATGGTAATAAATTTAATTTTGGAACTAACAAACACTTCTTTACTGTAAGATGTTTGATCACTGATTTTGGTACTATTCAAAAAGCAATGTAATCAAATGAAGTCAAATTTTAATTTCATTGTAATTAAAGCAGGCTTGTGAAAAATGATTTCTTTTCTGGATTACATCCTACAAATGCTGTAATAGTTAAATTTATTTCCGTTTGTTTCATTTGTAAAAGTAGGAAATAATTGTTACTCTTATACAATATCAAAATTAATGCATCACAGGCAGTTTGTTTGAATTGGATGTTTTCAAGTAATAACTGAGGTGTCAGTAGTGCAGAAATTGCAATATTTCAGAATTACATACTAACCATTTCTAATAATATAGGGAAAGTATGTGCTGTTGTAGCTCCACTAGTTTCACTATGCTAAACATCTTTAATATGTATTTTGAAGAGAAAAAAAAGAAAAGTGTCTCTGAAGACAAACATACTCTTGTATATGGTGGCTCTGCAGCTGTCTTATGCAATTCAACCACCGCCAAACATTCATCATCAGGACTCAAAACTGGGATGCATAATACGGATTTCACAGCTGGTCCTTCAAGGGTAAGACACACATTTATTATATTACATAGTTCACATATATGTTTATTATATTATATAATAGTTCTCTGGTTGTTTGTTGGCACATTTCCAATTGATACTCTTTTTCTTGATTTACAAAAAGGAGCTAAATTTACTTTGAATGTTGTAAATTGTAATAAAATTCATTAAATTGTTTTTAAGCAAAAGTGTTAAAAACATTGAAGAGAGTTTAATTTGGCATGTTTTTCATGAATATAATAATCAGAAAATAGTGAATTACTGTGTGTTTGGTTCGATTTTTATTTTTTTCCCTAACTAAAACATTGTCAGCAATGAAAATTTTAATAACTACTTTATGTAATTTAAATTGTTTTCAAAGTGATAAATATTACAAATTATTAAATTAAACTAACGCTTCTTTTCAGAAACTATGTTGTGTCATACATAATCCATTAAGTTTGAAGGATCTCTAAACTTTCAATTGGCGGTGTTTGTGTGTGTGTGTGTATAATATTATATATATATATATATATTATATATATATAGTATAGTAGATATTATTATATATATATATAATATATATATATATATATATATATATATATAAAAATGATATTTAAGTATGGCTCCCCAAGAATAGAGGTGAAATAATTGTGCCATCTAGGAATGGCATTTCATGTTGAAGGGTTAAAGGGAAAATTTGAGATGACATTACTATAATACCTACAGAAATCTAGTGTTCTTACTGACTTTTTTTTTTTACCCAGGATTCATTATTTTTTACCTAACCATCCCACTCCTTCAGGAAACCTAGAATCTGTATGTATATCATTCACCAATGTGTCTTCCTTTGTTTGTGCAACATAGGCAGCAACAATGCTTCCAGGACCTGAAAGAAGATCCTATCAATCAATTTTTACTTTCTCGTTAACTTTAAAATAAGTATCTAGCCATTATTTCATCAATAGTTATAAAAAAGTACAGAAAGAAATTTACCTATTTTCCAATTTACCCGATGTCGTGGACTTACAACATTACGTGGACATTGCACAATCTCACCAAGGGTACTATCAACAGAATATACTACAGTGCCTTTTGAAGTAAAAATAAAATAATTAAAATTAATGAAACAAAAATTTTAACTCAGACCAATTATAAGTAAAGAAGAGATTGAACAAAAATTAGGCATTACCGACAGATTTTGTTTGGACTTTTAAAACATCAGCTGTTTCATACAGTAAAGATGAAAAATCCACACTTTCTAGTAAAAATTCTGATAAGTGTCGAAAAAGTTCACTGGGTCTTTTCTGTAAGTATACACTGAAAACTTTGTCCCTTTTTTTTTCTGATTCCTTCTGACGACGACGTACTGTGCGGACATAAGGAGCTAATACTCGCCTTGCAGCTTTATCTGCAGTAAGTTTTGTAAAATCGTAAGTATCAATAAGTCTTGATTTTTGTGTAACAGGAGCTGGATAACGAGCTGGCTTGTTAATATCAATATTTGTTCTTGCTGCAACTTTTGAGCCTTTTTTTGCTTCTGCCATATTACTATCACAAAATCGTTTCTCCCCCCAAAAAATAATCTCAGATAACCAGTATGTGAATATTTTTTCAACGATTAATGAATTTTGCTATTTCACGTTCCCCAATTATGATAAAAAATTCTCTTTCAGAATAATCCCCAAATACACCCTCCCCACATTTACAAAAAGACAACAAAAAAAAAGAACTACTGAAATAGGTTATAAACAATATTGCCCATGTGCATTTTGGTTTTCTTTTGTTTTCATGTATTTAAGGAAACATTATTATTGTAACAATTGTATACAACTAGGAAGTATTCAAAATTAAAGGAATTAATTATTAGTAAAAGATTTTTCTACTCAGGTAAAAATTTTATACTGATTTTTTAATCCTGTAAATCACATCGTTATTTTTTTTTTTTTTTTTTTAAATAATAGTTTCTTACACATGTATTAATGAAAAATACAAAGTAGAAATAGCAGCATTAAAAAAAGCATTAAAAAAAAAAACACCCAAAAATTACAGCTACGATTCTTTGTTTCTTGGCAGGGTAAAATATGCCTCTCACCTAACCAGAAATTTATTCAAATTCTGTTTTCAGCTTGGAAGTAGTGCTTCTTCTATTTAATGTAAAGGTTAAATCTAATTACATTTATACAAAGAAGTAATACATTTTTAATGCTTTTTATTAATCAGTTGCACCTTTCTTACAAACATTTATAATACAATACTAAACATTGAACTGCAATTTTTAAAAATATTTATTAACATGAAATTAAAAATATTTTTATAAAATATTATGGATATAAATCACAGCAGATACTTTCTTTAGCTAAATATATAAACATATACATCAAACTTTCACAAGAAGAGATATGAAATGCTGTAGTTTTGCTGAGAGGAAAAAGAAAGGTAATATGTCATATGTAAATTATCTACAAATAGAAATCACAATTGTGTAGCAGTTTAGGAATGGCATAATTGAATAAACTGTGCAATTGAAATAAAACAATCGTGTATAAAACTCTCACTGCAATTCTGGTCATTTTAAATTTTCTTGGAGACTTTGTACAAAAGTTTCTTGCATCATGGTGTGTCTTGCTTGATTACGGTTGTACATTACACGGCAGTCAAGAGAAATACATTCAATTTTGTCAATATATCGACAGCAAGACTGACAAATCTGTAACATTAAAGAAATTATTGGAGGTACTATTCTCTGGAACACTGTAATTTGATGAAATGTCTTAATTGTAAATAAAACAATTATAAAAAAATTTTGATAAAAAGTATTTAAAAAAATTGTTTTTGCTTCTGTTTGTTTAAATTATTAACATTTGCACAGGAGATTGAATGATAGACACCACACTAATCATCAAGTTTGGATCATTCTAAATTGATAAGGTCTCATTGCTCCAAAAATTACAATTTCTGAGAGAGAAAAATCCCATGAACCTTTCAGAAACATATAACTCAAGTTACTACATTTCTCTACATTTGACATGGTCATGTCTGTCATCATCATCATCATCATCATCATCATCATAAATTAATTGTCTTTTTTTTTTTCTCTTTTCACTTTAGAACAATGGTGTTTAGTATAGAAATTAATTTCATGTTAAGATGAAACAAAACTACTCATTTTTAAATGTCATTTTTGACATTTGATTTCGACTAGTAAGTCATTTTTTTACCATTTTACATAATTTTTAATCCATTTTTTGCTGATTTAATCGATTTTAATATACTATAATTATAATACATAATATAATTTTAATGGTACTTGTGTCAAGCAATATTTACAAGGTGCATTAAATGTTCACCACTAAATTCCTGAGTACCAAATTCGATTTCTTCGCTCTTATATTGTAATGTAATCAGTTATGAGTACTATGTAATCAAAAGTTCCTGTAACGCCTCCCGGTGACATTGTCAGTTTGGCCAATTTTGTGATAAATGAAGACAGAAATTTTCTTTTAAAGAAGAGTTTAAACCAAAAGTTTGCAAGCTGAGTTCACTTTAACAAAATGTAGAAGCCTCGATTACATCAGTAACATACCCAACATGTTGAGTTGTTCATTTGAAGTGATTTTGATCAAACTTTTTACGTCATTTTTCTTTGTTTTTTACAGCAGTTTTAAAGCATTTTAAGAGCATTTCATTGATTGTTTTTGGCAATGTTTTAGGTCATCAAAATCAGCCCCTAATCACCATCATCATCATCATCATCATCATTATCATCACCACCATCATCTACACTCAATAACACTCTTGGTTTAGGAGCAGTGTTCAGGTCCTGTGGGTAGAAAAGCAGTTTTCCTTCTCACAGGGAAATGTAGAGCCATTTTCTTGTTGATATGCCTCTGCGTCTTTAACTTTCTTGTTTGGGTCATCCATACATTACAATAGGAATGAGGGGAAGAAGGGGGTTTGAGGTGATGTTACACTGTATTACATTGGAGTAGAGGCGTATTAAGTTTTTTGTTGTGTGTGCTAATATACGTTTTTCGAATTTTTCAACATTTGATGAATTCCTTTTCTTTCCTCTTTTAATAGAACATTAAAGTATTAACAAATTCAATTAAAAATATAAATAAAATAAAAAGGTATGATGTATAAATTGTTAGAATAAAGGGAAATACTTTTTTATCATTGTATTGTAGTAATTGAATCTCTTAGGTTATGAAGAAAATATTCCAAACTGATCTATGGATTATTCTGGAATCCAATTAAATTTGGGCAGCAGACTCTCGTGCATGCAATATTCATGACAGCAAATGCACTGCTTGCTGAAATAAATTTTCTTGCCTCTGCGACCTTCCTTCATTAAAAAATGCTCCCTTATTTTATAGTTAGGTGGATTCCAAATTCTTTAGAACGTGTTTCCAATCCTTGATTTTGTAGCATTTTCTGAGGGGACTCCTCAGAATCTATACCCTATCTATTGAATCATCTTACCCAATAATTAGGAATTGGAATAGCTCACGGAAGAAATCACAAACTAGTGGTGCTATAGAACAGCATCAACTTTCTTGTAGTGGTTAGTTTTCTAACTTCTTTGGTCTGGGCTAGCTTTTTCAATCTTACCCCATCCCATACCAAAATATTACTTTAAGAATATTAGAAGAGTATAACTTTGTCCTAAATGGAAATATTTCTTGAAAAATTTGTAGCCATTTTTATTAAAATGTCTATTACGCGTTAGTGTAAATGGGAAATTTCAATGTTTCTGAAAAAGCAGAATTTTGAGATCATTTTCACAGAAAACTGTTGTGTTTTCGAGAATCTTTATATGACATCATTTAAAGCATGTGCACTTATTAATGTAATAATGTAAACAAATTGCCGCTAATGTAAATATTAGCATTACATTACAGAAAAATTACTTCTTTGTAATTTTTGAAACACAAAAGAATAGAGCAAAATGACGTTTATGTTATCGTAAAAAGTACATTTAGCACTATCCCAATAATATTGCGCAAAAACTACTAAAAAAAATCCTAATGAAAGAAATAATTACGGAGAGAAAAAATTCATTTGAAGGAAAAATCTCTATCTTCAATTTTGTAGTTGTAGGAAGATACTGGATTAATTTTTAACTTTTTCAATTTTTGAAAATTCAGAGTTAACAGTGAAAATATTAATATGTATATGTATGAATGTGAAAATATTAATGAACATATGCCACCTTTACAAAGAATATTCCACTCCATTGTTGCAATAAATTTAAAGAAAAAATTTGGAGCCATTTTTGAGAAAATTTTGAAAATGTTTCAGAGGCATCATGTAAAGTACTTCCCAAAGAGTAAGGAATAAGGAATGTTTTTTCAGAATCGCATAGCTGCAAATGAGGCCAGATCAACCAGGGAGTATGCAGTTTGGAGAAAAAGTCATATGCATAGTTCAGGTGCTAGTGTTGTTCACAGACGACAGACGGATGTATGTATGTATGTATGTATGTATGTATGTATGTATGTATGTATGTATATACGGATGTATGGATGTATTTGTTGTAAAGAAAGAAAGAAAGAAAGAAAAGGAAAAAAGAAGGGGGGCAAAGAAAAGAAGAAGAAAAGAAGAAGAAGAAGAAGAAGAAGAAGAAGAAAAGAAGAACAAGAAGAACAAGAAGAAAAGAAGAACAAGAAGAAAAGAAGAACAAGAAGAAAAGAAGAACAAGCAAAGAAGAAGAAGAAAAGAAGGAGAAGAAGAAAAGAAGGAGAAGAAGAAAAGGAGAAGAAGAAAAGGAGAAGAAGAAAAGGAGATCTTCTTTTTCTTCTTCTTCTTTTCTTCTTCTTTTTCCTTGTTTTTCTTCTCCTTGTTTTCTTCTCCTTTTCGTTCTTCTCCTTTCTTTTCGTTCCTTTTCTTCTTCTCCTTTTCTTCTTCTCCCTTTTCTTCTTCCTCTTTTCTTCTTCTCCTTTTCTTCTCTCCTTCCTTTCTTCTTGCTTCTTTGCTTGTTCTTCTGTTCTTCTTTCTTCTTCTTCTCTTCTTCTTCTTCTTCTTCTTCTTTCTTCTTTTCTTCTTTTCTTTTCTTCTTCGTTTCTTGGCCCCCCTTCTTTTTTTTTTCTTTCTTTCTTTCCAAACAAATACATTCCATACATCCGTACATACATTACATACATACATACATACATACATACATACATACATACAACATACATACATGCATGCATACATACATACATACATACATACATGCATACAGCAACATCATTACATTGCATACATGAATACATCCATACATGCATACAGCAATACATGCATACATGCATACCATTCATACATGCATACATGCATGCATACATGCATACATGCATACATGCATGACTACATGCATACATGCATTACATGCATACATCATACATGCATACATGCATAATGCATACATCATGCATACATGCATACATGCATAACATGCATACATGCATACATGCATACATGCTACAGCATGCTACATGCATACATGCATACTGGCATACATGCATACATGAACATGCAACATGCATGCAACATGCAACATCAT